TAGAATTCATTGACCACATGAATTAAGTGACAAAAACCACAGAAGTAAATGGTAACAATTGAAGTGAAGGCAATTAATATAGAGACCTCTAATTAAAAGCTTCTACATGAATTTAGTAGATTAGAGAAAGTTTCTTGAAGAAGGATGAAAGTGAGCTGTGTTTCAGAGGACATGGAGGAGTTAGAGCAAGGGGGCCAAGTGGCATCTTTGCAGTTGTTCTAAGGTAGTAATTAGCTCAGTGTTTTCGGAGATGTGTACTAGTTGGATGGAAAAAGAGCAGGTATATTTGAAGGAGACTGGGGATAAGAGAATGACATGAAAATTCAGATTATGGGAGTTCACTTGGTAATTTGTTGGAGTCGTCCTAAATGTTGAGAATCCTGATCTGGACCTGGAGATGGTGAAGGAGGTGGACCTGGTGAATACTGTTTTTAGGAAATCTTAAGTGGAGTTGAGTCCAAACCAGAGCAACACATTAGCATGCTAATAGGGGATCTAGAGCATGACAACAGGAGATCCAGGGCAGAGCATTTCAGAGCTCTGATAGGCAGACAGTAGACCTGGATTATATTTTGGCTGAGAGCATTTTGGCCAAACAAAATGTAATCAAAAGCAACATGGTGAAAGCAACTTTGTGTGTTAGTTTGGTTGAAACAGACTTTGGGAACAAAATGAGTATGTTAACCACTGGCATTCAAGTTTTTGTTAAATAGTAATGATAGTAGCTATCACTCATGAATGCATTCCACATGTAGGGCGCCTTACTAGATTTGCAGATATTACCATCTTTAATCGTCACAGCCATTCTACGAGATAGGCGCTACTATTTTCTCCATTTTACAGATGAGGAAATTGGTGGTTTGGAAGATTAAGCTGTTTGCTCAGTCACATAGCAAGTCAATCTAGAGTGAGACTTTGAACACTGAGCAGTCCAAAGCCCTGCTCTCTTTGGTCGTCATGTAGTACTGCTTGCTGGTATCAAGGAACATGGTTCATTAATTATCCATTTTTATCTTTAACTACAAAAGTAATACATAAAATAAATGAATGGGCCAGGCACAGTGGCTCATGCCTGTAATCCCAGTGCTTTGGGAGGCCGAGGTGGGCGGATCACAAGGTTAAGAGATGGAGACCATCCTGGCCAACATGGTGAAACCCTGTCTCTACTTAAAAATACAAAAAAAATTAGCTGGGGCGTGGTGGTGTGCACCTGTAGTCCCAGCTACTTGGGAGGCTGAGACAGGAGCGTTGCTGGAACCTGAGAGACAGAGGTTGCAGTGAGCCAAGCTCGTGCCACTGCACTCCAGCCTGGCACCTGGCCACAGAGCCAGACTCTAGCTCAAACAAACAAACAAACAAACAAACAAAAAGAATTAATTAATTCTAGAAAAATTTTAAAATGTAAAGTAGCAGAAGATGACTATACAAAATAGTCACAATTTCCTCCATTAGAGGAATTAACACCTTTGCTTACATATCTTTTTCTTTTTTGGGCATATTGATTTATATACATTTTTAAAAATTAAAATGACATTTGATAAATCTTTTAAAACCAATTGTTGAACATTTGACTGTTTTCAGCTTACCCCGTTGGGCCTTTAGGCTGTGGTGACTTTTTGATATTACAAACAGTATGCAATAGAAATAATCAGCCAAAAACAACATGCAAATAAAATAAAGCAAAATGAAACAAGACTAAAAAAGGACAAAAAATTCAAAACAATAGGCAGTAATACAAGAGAGGAATAACAATTGTAAAACCACTCATTCTATAAATATGTTGTATTCAAATTATAATGCTCTGAAAACCAATAGGAGGGGCATATTTGCTTTTGAGCAGGCCTTGATGTTGAACAAGTTTCTAAGTGTTTTTAACGGAATCACCTGGAGCCAGTTTCCTGAATCACAAGCAGGATCTCAGCCCCTAGGCAGAGTCACAGGAAGGTAGCTAATCCTTAAGTGCATATACAAGGAGTCTAGGAGGGACTGTGCTCAAGGGAATAACCTAATGACCAGAAATGATAGATGTAGTAAAAAGAATTAATCTCAGGATCAGAATATTAAACCAGTGATCAAATCTGAAGCACAAGGTTATTGCTAGGATAACAATCACATGACAACAGGAAGCTGATACCGAGTCCCAGAGCATTGGGGCAACACTCTTGTCTTAATCTATTTGCATTGCTACAATGGAATACCTGAGACTAGGTAATGTATAAAGAAAAAATGGTTATTTGGCTCACAGTTCCGTAGGCTTGTACTGAAGTATGGTGCCAGCATCTGCTGCTGGTGATGGCTTCAGGCTTCTTCCACTCATGGTGGAAGGTGAGGTAAAACCAACATGTGTAGTGGTCAAGGAGGGGATGAGGAGGGTGCCTGGCTCTTTCTAATAATCAGCTCTCTGGGGAAGTAATAGAGGAAGAACTTGCTCATTACACTGAGGTTGGCACCAAGCCATGTATGAGAGATCTGTCCCTATGACCCAAACACCTCCCATTAGGTCCCACCTCTAACATTGGGGTTCACATTTCAACATGAGGTTTGTGGGCACAAACACCCAAACTGTAGCAACTCTAAATCCTTCCTGCCAAAGGGCAAGAGATTAGGCTAGGGATGACCTTCCAGGTGGACAGAATGGCTCCAGAAATTATGAATTTGGCAGGCCTTGTCAATCTGAGGTTTGCAGGGAGGAGGAGAACATGATGAAGAGTTGCAGGATTTGTAGGATGATTAAAAATCAGTGCAGTATATGCAAGAACATGATTTAAGAGGATACTTCTTAATAGTATTGGGGTAGCAAATGAAAAGAAAGAGACTCTTGGTCTGCACGCTGGTTGGAATTATATGTACAGTGATATCCAGACATCCCCATTAAATAAATAGAATGAATTAATACCTGTAACTGTATTCCTCTTTATATCACATTTTTGGCAAACAGAGAAAAAGCATGGAGTTGATCCTTTGGAGCCTGTAATGCTGCCATTACTTTCATTAAATAAAGTTTTAGCTGGTATATAAAGATTTTCCTTTATTACAGAGCCTCTAAACAGACATGCCATATCCTAGGATTATAGTTTAAGTTAATGGTATTATGTTTTAAAATTAAAAATTATTATCTTTTGTTGGTGTTATCAAAACCATCACAAAATTAATCATGAATATACTAGGGTGACGGTTCAATTAACTTTCATGGATATTGATCAGATAAACACAAGATTTATGATTGCATTCTGAAGTCTTTATTAGGTGAGTGGGTTACCCAGACAATTAAGAACTCATCTAATAAAGACCTGGAAAATGCTGCTTTTGAGTTAAAGAGACCTCTCTTTTTCTTAATGTCAATATATTTTTTGCTTGTTTTGTTGCACTGAGAGTACCAATTGTATAGAAGTTTATTCAGTGATCTTAATTAGAAATAACTTTTTAAATGTTTTTAGATATATAAAATTTAAAAACTTCCAATAGTGTTCATGATGTTATAGGAATGTCTATAAATTAACTGTAGCTCATGGTTACATTTGCTTCAGTGCTTTGAACTTTTGAATCAAGCCTTTCTTCCACAGTATTGGATGAATATTATCATAATTTATGTCACTTGCATGAAATTTTCAAATATATATTGTTTTAAAATTACCAAATAGTCTATGCTTGTTATTTAAAGAAAAAGAAAATCCTCCAAAACTAAAACAATGTTGAATACAGCCCCTTTCCCATCCTTGAAATGATAACTGTGTAAATAATTTGATGCCCATCTTTGCAATTTTTCATAAAGGTTCTAATTGTGTTTACATATATACGTAGATTGATAGATGCATACATTCTCCTTTCTCCCCTCTCTCTTCTTCCTTTCCCTCTCACTTCTTCCCCTTTGTCTCCCTCCTCCTCATTTTTAACATAAGTGCTATGATATTGCCAAAGGAAAGAAGGCTTTGTTCTGTGCTCTGTGCTTTATTGAATTGCATTCATTGGTGGAGCTTATTTTCTTTGTCCTTTCCTGCCTTTGCCCACTCTGAAGGTTCAGTAAATTCAGTCTTTGTTTTGCTTTTCTTTATACTCAGCAGCCAAACTAGGAACCCTCCCAGAACAAATCCTCAACTCTGTAAAAGAGAGCAATTCTGGGTGCGTTCTCCTGGGGACAGCCAGCTTTACAGGTTCAGTTCTGGCTTCCCTGGTGATTGGCCCAAGGCCCAGCATGGCTTTTGTACCAGCTGATTCCTAGTGGGAAGTTTCTCTGGGGTTTCCTTGGAAAGAAAGCTCTTTGAAGCATTCCTCTTCCGTGTCTGTTATTGGTCGAGGTTTCCTCTGCATTCATTATCTATTATTTTGACTATGTCTGATTTCTGTTTTCCAGGACGTTCTAAAATACCTTGATATGTTGATGGTAGACCTTGGTTTTTTCCTTCTTGAGTCTGTCATTTTGGTGGGATTTAGGGATATCAACGAGGTGAGGTACACATGATGGCCCAGTCAACACCTTGAACTTCCCAGATGTCTAGTATTTTTTCTATTTCTGGACCAGGTTTTAGGACATTCTTTCAGGGAACGAGCTTATTTGCACTTCCTCTGGCTTGTGTTAGAACTTGAAAGGCTTTTTTTCTTTCAGTTTTGTGTTAGTAATAATGAAATTCAATGATACCTCATTGCTCTCTGGGTGTGTAAATGACACTTTTGCTTGTCAACTGCATTTATAGGCCACCACAAATTGTTACTTGCATAAGGCCAATTAGTGATGCAAAAGTCACTTAAAAATTTGACATAATTATCCATATTTCATTTGACGTATAAATGCCACTATCTTTTTGTCACATGTATTTATATTTTGCCAGGTAACTGAATATTGTCACCTACCTTTTTCAGCACCCAGATCAACTAGAAATATTTTTTAAAAAGTAATAACTTTTCATGGGCACATAGTATTCCATTAATTTATCTTAAAATTGTTTCTTAGTTACTATCAGAAACAAATGAATGGTTCAGCATTTGAAAAAAATTTGTTTCAGGAAGGAGAAAACATTTTCTATTTGGCAGTTGAAGATATAGACACAGACACGGAACTTCTGATTGGCTACCTGGATAGTGACATGGAGGCCGATGAGGAAGAACAGCAAATTGTGACAGTCATCACAGAAGGGGAAGTTGAAAATTCTAGAAGACAATTAACAGCAGGCGGAAAAGGTATTGCATCTTTGACTGGTGATCTGGGACAATAAAAGTAGAAAAAATGTAGTTTAAACTGTGGTTGAATTATAGTTGCCTTGTAATATGGCATTCTCAAATAAAGTTAGTTTTTGTCAAAATTACTCTCAGAGGGTATCCTGTGGTGAGCTCATCTTTCTTAGAGCAGGAAAAGTATGTTGGGGGTGGGTGATGGATGTGCCCAAAGGACTGCCTAGGCCACAGGCAGGGGTGCACTGCTGGGGTGGCTCCTGGCTCTCACCGCTCTCACTGGCACACTGGGGTAACAAGTAGTGAGGATTTTTTTGTAGTCTTGCCCTAGCCCTGCCACTAATCAGTATTGTAATATTGGGCAAGTTGTTGACTTTCTGAGACTTTACTTACTCATCTGCACATGGGAAAAGGTGAGTGTAGAGGTCTGGTACACAAGAGAGCCTGCTGGATCCAAAGGGGATTGGTTCCTCTGGTTTGGGATGTTTTGGGAACCTGCAGCTTCTTGGCATCTCCTTCTGTTCTGATCACAGAAGCCTGGAGGATTGCTAAGCTGCCCTAGTTTGGTTACCAAAAACTCTCAATGACCATAGGTTAGACCCTCCTCAGTCAATACTGCAGCCACTTGCTTGTTAACTTCCTGGGAATAATCAGTTATTATTGGTCTTGTTGCTATTATGTTGTGTTTTACTCCTAAGGGAAGTTTAAGGGATACGTGCATAATGCTATAGGTATCCCCATTTTTTAACAGGCTTTGTCTTAATGCTTTCAGGCTGTTACAACAGAATGCTTTAGTCTAGATACTTGGTAAGCAACATAAATTTATTGCTCACATTTCTGGAGCCTAGAAAGTCTATCAAGGTGCCAGCAGATTTGGTGTCAGGTGAGGGCCCATTTCTAATTAGATAGCACCTTCTAGCTGTGTCCTCATGTGACAGAAGGGGCAAACAAGCTCTCTTGGGCTTCTTTTACAAGGGCATTAGGCCCATCCATGAGGACAGGTGATCACAATCTAATCACCTCCTAAAGGCCCTACCTCTTAATACAATTCCCATTGGGAACTTACGAATTTTAGGATTCATGAACATTCAGACCACAGCAGGCTGATACTACACAGTACTTTTCCATTTTTAGTAGCAAAGCCACTTCAGAAGTGATACTGGTTTCATTAGTCAAGTGGTAATGATGCTTTTCCTATATATTTTCTGTTCTAACTGCATGTTCTTAGCTGAGAAAGTGTCAACATTCTGTCACCATTAGTTGAGTTATTTAAGGGGAAGATAAGGACCGGGTTATATGCATTATGCTGTTTGGAATATCAGATTTAGGGTGATGGAAATTATTTCCATATTATTCTGTGTTTTTTTTTGTTTGTTTGTTTTTGTATTTTATTTTTTCTCTGTCACCCCCCAGGGCAAGTTGTTTTGTCCATTGTTTTAATTTAAAAAGAAGTCGTCTACTTATCTATTACTGCTCTGCTTTCTGCTTTAGTTATTAAAATACCAGTTTTCATTATCTTTGTATAAAGAATCAACAGAAACTTAAACATTTTTTTTTTAAACATCTGAACCAAGCACTTGTACTGTGGCTATTTTTATTTAGAATTATTGGTCTTGTTTAGAAAAGCAAAGAAACAAAATAAAAACAAACTCACCCAAAGAAACAATGAAAGCCATCCAAATGTCTAACAATGAAGAGTTTCGTTAAATGAATTATGGTACTTTAAGTTTTAAAAAACACCAACATTTGACTTAAGAAGCTGTTAAATGGGAAAATATATAAAATTGTATACAAAGTACGATCCTAAATTTACCTCTTCTTAGACTGTGCATAAAATATGTATGCACTAAAGGCAAGTCAGGCTTGCCAGTAATATTATGACAGTTGTCTCTTCAAGACGGGATTATTGGTGTTTTTTATTTTCCACATTTTCTAAATTTAATTTTATTTCATAATCAGAAAAAAAATGTGTAACTTACATAGCACACTGAGAAAGTTGGTCAGACATGCACCAGTCTGTATGGGACAGTGTAGCCTAATTCACTATACTAGCTGTAATCAGCACTGTTTTTATGACCTTGGTCTTTTTTCACATGCATGTGAGATTCCCCTTGGTAATTCAATATAGTTTGCCTCAGTTTGATTTTTCTCCTTGTTAAGGTAAAAGTGAGCTTTTTAAAAAGGACCAATTTCAGGAATAGCTTTTGTTTTGTAATTTAACATTTGTAATAACTCTTTTATCTGAAAAGTTAACATTATAGGGTGAATTAAATAATGAATTTGATTATGTATTAATCTGGTGAAACAAGTGGTTTTGAAAATAATGTATTTCTAGTAACACTTGCTATTATTTTTTGTGGCTAATAGGATTAATATTTATAGTGATAAGAGTTCACTCATATAGTATCATAAGCACAGTTAATTTCAGTTTTAAAATGAGAGGAAAAATGAGCATTTCTTGGCTCTGAATTTTTGTCTCATGACTATGTGTCCTTGTAAATATGCAGATGGCCCTGGCTGTAAAGAGGACTATGCTTGTCCTCAGTGTGAATCGAGTTTTACCAGTGAGGATATTCTTGCTGAGCATCTTCAGACATTGCACCAGAAACCCACAGAGGAGAAGGAATTTAAGTGCAAGAGCTGTGGGAAGAAATTCCCAGTTAAGCAGGCTTTGCAAAGACAGTGGGTATATTAAAGAATATCTTTAAAATTATAAGCTAATACAGTTTATTACATTTGTCTTAACTCCTAGTTTTTAACCTCTGTGTGTGTGTTGGCGGTGGGGAGGGGTGCATGTTTGTGTGTATGTGAGTGATTAAGCATTTTACATTGGTATTGTCATTAATTCATCTTTTTTTAGCATAGTATGTTGATTTTTGAAATATTCAAATAATGAATTTTAACATGTAAACACTGTTTATGGTAATTAGTTTTTGTCCATTTAATAATTTGCCATTATGTATCAAGTTTACTGGTTTAATCTAAAATTCAGATATGCCTAATTCAGTTAGTCTTTCAAGGTAACAGAGTTTTAGTGGTCTACATTTGATATTCCTTCTGGAATCTGTTAAAGAAAAGTTTAAGAAATGGAGAGAGTTCAAAATATAAAGAATTCCTAGACATTTTGGGAAACACTGTTTATTTGAGAGCAACTTTAGAGGAATAATATAAAGATGCATAGGTACCGGACATAACAATATGATGAATTAAATGATCCCACACATAGCTCTGTACATTTCATTACTTTAACAATTTATATTAACAACATAAAATTATCTTTATTTAAATATTTTATAAGATCAGAAATTATTAAAAGTGAGAAATGCGCATGCATTTGTAAAGTTTTTTTACTCATTAAAGTTTTTAATTTTAATCAGATAATTGAATTTAAGTAATTTAAAAGCATATTTACATATTGGATACAACTGTAGACTATCATTTTGTTGAAGCCAGTTACTTCCAATATCAAAGCAATATAAATTGTCCCATCTCATCAGCATATGTCTTTCGTCTCTTGTATGCTCCCATCCTGCTATTTACTTTCTTCCTCCAACCTTAGCTTCTCATTTTAACAGAATGTCACATTACATATGAGCAAGACCTCTTTAATATAAGCTTTAATGTTACATTTTTGTGTTTCATTGAAGTAAAATTCTGAAATATGCTACATTTCATATTAAGACTGTATAATTATTATATGCATCAACTTGTGCTTATAAAAATTGAAATGAAAAATTGTGTTTAAAACCTAATAAATGTTCAGAGCATCAAAACTTATAGTAGCAGGATATTACATATTTATAAATTCTATTATACGTTCTTTAAAAAACAAGCAAGGGTGATATGCTTTTAAATAAATGGACATTAAGTTGCGTTCTATTTAGCTTTTATTGCATTTAGTATTATAAATTTATACAAAAGACACCCTGCTGAGCAAAAGCTTACAGTTAAATAAGGTAATCCTAAAAATTTAAAAAGGCAAAAGACAAAATGAAACAAGGGATCATAAACATGACTTTATACAGAGTTAGCATAGTTTCATTTTTGTCTTAGAGTTCCAGTTTTTGTTTTTTTTCTCTTTTTCCTATTTCCCTTTAGTGTTCTTCAGTGCACAGCAAAAAGCAGTCTGAAGGAGTCTTCACGAAGTTTTCAGTGCTCTGTTTGCAATTCTTCCTTCAGTTCACCATCAAGGTTTTGTTTCTGTTATGAGATGGCTGTTACATAATTGTGGGCCATTATTTGCATGCACACTTTTATGCTTCTTAGTAACGCAGTTTCACATGCCCACATAATTTAAATCCTTTTTTTCTTACCTGTATAGGCAATGCATGGAATGACCCCGAAATTCTGCTAGGGAGCATGTATTAGAAAATCTTGCTGTGATGTTTGAGTTTTTTAGGTATGTCTTCACCATTTCTTTTCCCTGTTCCGTTTTGCTGTTTGTCTTGTAGTTTTGAGCAGCACCAGGAGACTTGCCGAGGGGATGCCAGGTTTGTGTGCAAGGCTGACAGCTGTGGAAAGAGGCTGAAGAGCAAGGACGCCCTGAAAAGACACCAGGAAAATGTCCACACTGGTGAGGAGTCATTGGAGGGTCGTTTCCAAAGGGACTTCCTTTCCCCAGACTGCAGCGATCTGTTTTTAATTCTCACTCTTGAGGAGAGAGCTGGCTTTTCCATTGTGTTTCACACAGATGTGGAGCGCTGGCAGTGGATTTTTTTCTTTCACTGAACACTATTTCTTTCTCAAGTTGAATTTAGCAGCATTTGTTCTTTTTCCCATTTCTGAACTAATCATGGCTATAAGCCTTAGTTAGAGTCTAGTTATGTTTGGGTGGTCAGGTGCATTAAGAATTAATATTTTTAAGTAACAATTTTAAATGTTTTGGCATATGACATTTCTTTTATAAATTGTTAAAATTTATCATTATTAAGTGATATCCTTCTGCCTTACTATTTTTACAGTAAAATCCAACTTTTGAAAATGCTTACAGTTCTCCTAAATTAGAGAAAATTACCAACACATTTTGATATTGGAATTAAATATCTTTGGATTAATTAAACAAATATTATTCAAATTCCATCTCAGCTAGCTAAACAATAAAACAGATATAAAATTTGACTGTCACTTAGGTTTATCTGCTTAGCACATGGTACACTGACAATAAATATATTTTGGCTTAGGAATTAAATCTATTGTAGTGGATTGAATAGATGGTTGTATTGTCCCAGTTAACTTTTTACTTCTTGTCTTTTTACCTCTGTAGATTTCCTTCTTAAAGGAGGTTGAGAGTTATGAAACCCTGCATGTTCTTCTGTGCTTATTCTTTGCCCATATGTTTACTTTTGCCCTTGACTTCTGGGAAGTGGGTGGATATGTGTCTCTGGATGTAGGGGAAAGTGGATTTCTTTTCTCCCTTCAGTTATTTATTCTCACATTCAGGTGAAGATGACAATCATCTCCCTTCAGTTATTTATTCTCACATTCAGGTGAAGATGACAATCAACTCCCTTCAGTTATTTATTCTCACATTCAGGTGAAGATTATCATCTTCACCCAACATCTGTGTCTTATGTTTGTTCATTGTCCAAAAAGTATTAACTTTAATAATAATACAATTACAGAGGCTTCCATGAGCACAACTGCTAGCTGCGACTTTGCATCATTGGTTGGGCTGCATATTAAGTGCGACCTATGGTGAAAGCTCTGTGCGATGGAAGTAGGGCCTTGTGAAATGCACCTCCAGCTTGGTGCCCATCACTAGGCTTTTACGGTGTTCTGGTTTCTTTCTTTCCTTTTGAAGAATATGTGGCTGATTTAGGGAAGGTGGCATTTTTCTGAATTCAATATACTGGGACATTCCCTATGATTGCAAAAGGCAAGAATAACTTTTTGGTAAACTTGCCTTCATTGTTTTTTTTTTCCAATGCTGTTCTAGTTAAAATGCTATTCTTAATTTTTTCATCTATGTCTGCAATATATTGTAATAGAACTTTCATGTCAGTTTCAACGTTTAAGTTTGCTGAACTAAGTAAAAATCAGATGCATATGAAACTCTGGAAACTTGCATTCTTATTACTGTGCATGTGGTCGTCAGGCTGTGCTATAAGCACAGTTTCTTTAAGGCTTCTTGTAGTTGGCCTTGTATGTTGTAATATTACTGATTCTGGATATTTATGGTGATTTTTTTTAGGAAATAATTCATAAAAGGAAATCTTGTTTTATATATGTATTTTTATTTGTGAACCATATAAAATGTGAAATCTTGCTGTATTTTAGCTAAAGGTTACTATACCATATGTTTTGCTGGGGGTGGTACATGATGTCATTCTCTCATTCATAGTACATCTCTTGCTTCTCTCCTTTCCTCCATGGGCTACACAGGCATTTGAGGAAATTTTATTCCCTACTGGAGATAGCAAAGCAAAGAAGCTTTCATACACATGGTTGAATCCTTTATTATAGAAAGGCAAAGGCACTCAAAGAAAGAGATCTTTGATGGCAAATGTTTTTTTGTTAAGGTAATATGAATTGAGGATGATGATTAGAGAGAAGCTGAATTTTTAAATATAGATCACATTTTTCCATAGAAACTGTAGCATGTGGTAGATAGGTTCTCAGACCAGCTCCTAGAATCGTACTTAGCCCACAGTGTGTTGAAATTTAAATACTTATGTGATTGTCTGTTCAGTACAGTTGTATTCATTTCCTCACATGGCTTACTTGTATAGATACTGTGTTCCTTAATGTTTTTGAAAGTTAAATCTGAAAGTCAAATATCAGATTTACCTAAATAGGAAAGTTAAGACAGTATAACATCTAGGTATGGCTTTGCCAGTTCTGTTATCCGTGAGCCTAGGGGAACTGGTAGAGTGGTGAGGGTCCTCACAGTTACCTAAGAGGAAATAGAGAGTGAAGGGGCCAAGCTCCTCAATCACTTCCCACCTTTCTCTTTTGCTTAGATTCTATGGTCGCAGACAAAGAGACTTTGCATTTATGGGAGATCCCATTTACATTCTCAGATGAATAGTCATGCGTGTTTCTTGTGTGTCTTCTCAGAGGAACTAGGATTCTTCTACGGTGAACAAGAGGAGCAGCCATGAAAGGAGAAAGAAAATTGAAGAGTGGGGATGGGGGTTTGATACCTGCAGGTGGAGCCATGGCAGGAGTGCAGGGGTAAAGTGAGAGGGGTGGGTGGAGAAATCTAGTTCTTTATCTCCTCTCTCCTCCTCTGACCTACCCAGTGGGAAGGAATAGGGCCTAGTATCAAGGAGCAGCTGCTACGAGGGCTAGAACAGGGCAGTAAGGTAAGGGTGGAAGATGGACCAACCAACTAGTGGGGGCTGGAAAAGAGGGAATATTCTTTCTGAATGGTGCCTCTTGTGTGATATGTTTAGGAAACTGATGACCAAATATATGCTGTCAGATAATCATTTTGCCTGGGAGAATTTTCTCCTTTAGTAGCCATGTTACTTTTCAGTCACTAAGAAACATTTTCTCAGCTATCATATTTAGTCTGCTAAAAACAGTGCATTAAATGTAATAGACATCTTGAATAATAAGACAAAAATTCATATTTGCCATTTCACAGTGTATTTCTCTTTCATAGATGCAGTCCTATAATAAAATGAAATCATTTTGTAATGATGGTTGTACTTGTTTTAGATTTGCTTCAAAATATAGAGAAATGGGGGTGTGGTTGGGGTTGAGGTTGGGGCAGGAATGGCCATGGTGAGCTATTGTTGGGGCCAGATGATAGACACGTGGTGATTCATTACACTATATCCTTCTTTTTGCATATTTGAAATCAGCCAATTAAAAGTTGAAAACACATTTTATGCTTATTCATTGTGGTGCATTTGATATTCTTATTATATCACATTTAACAATGTTTGCCTCTTCATTTCTATAACTAAAATTTGAAATATGAAATGAGCTACTATAAGCATAATCACTACATAAGAAGACAGAATTGTGCTTTTTTTGTGTAACAGTATGATTGCCAACATATTGTTTTATTGTACTTTATTTCTTAAAATTAATTTGATAAACATATACTTAGAGATTGTATAAGACTCCAGTGCTGGAAAGAATAGCCTATAAATTCTACCTTAAAAACCCAGCTGATTAAATAAAATATTCTGTTGAAATATAAAAGAAAGTAACACAATTTGTGAATTGATAAATTTAGTCTTTTCTTTTACAAACACACTTGGTTAATTTTAATTTTGATTTGAATTCCTTATGGATATATGCTTTTCTATTTTAATACTATACCATATTAGTACATGGAAAAGTGAATGCCTGTTTCATATATACAGATAGTGCTATATGAAGCTATGAAGATTTCTCAAATTTAAAAAGAAAGCTTTTACACAGAATGAGAGAAAATATTTGCAAACTACCCATCTGACAAGTGATTAATAACCGGAATATAGAAGGTGCTCAAACAACTCAACAGGAAAAAAAATCAAATAATCTAATTAAAAAATGGACAAAAAAATCTAAATAGACATTTTTCAAAAGAAGACATAAATAGCCAACAGGTATATGAAAAAATGTTCAAAGAAATTAATCATCAGAAAAAATGCAAATCAAAACTACAGTGAGATATCATCTCACCCTAGTTAAAATGGCTTTTATCCAAAAGACAGGCAATAACGAATGCTGAGGAGGATGTGGAGAAGGGGGAATGCTTTTACATTGTTGGTAGGAATGTAAATTAGTGTGGCCTCTGTGGACAATGGTATGGTGGTTACTCACAAAACTGAAGATAGAACTACCATATGATCTGGCGATTCTGCCAGGGTATATACTGCTAGGTATATACCTCAATGAAAGGAAATCAGTATATTGAAGAGATATCTGCATTCCCATGTTTATTACAGCACTATTCACGATAGCCAAGATTTGGAATCAACCTAAGTGTCCATCAATGAGAGAATGGGTAAAGGTAATTTTCTTAAGTGAAGTAAGCCAGGCACAGACACACAAATTTCACATGTGCTCACTTATATATGGAAACTAAAATTAAAACTATTAAACTCATGAAGATAGAGAATAGAACGATCATTTCCGGAGGCTGGGTAGGGTAGCAAGGGCACGGTGAATAAAATGGGGATAGTTATAGGTGTAAAAATATAGTTAGAATGAATACAGTCTGATAACAATACAATTTGATAGCATAACAGGGTGACTGTAGTCAACAATAAATTATTGCATATTTAAAAATAACTAAAAGAATAGAATTGGAATGTTCCTAACACAAAAAAAATGATAGATGCTTGAGGTGATGGATACCCTTATGTGGTTATTACACATTGTATGCCTGTATCGAAACATCACATGTACCCTATAAATATAGGCACCTGCTATGTACTCATAATAATAAAAAAATTATGAAAAGGAACATAAGCTTCTGCATTCTCTTGGGAGGTTGGGTCTTTATTCTGAAGGCTCCCCTATATACATGTTAAGTAAATTTGATGTCTTTTCTCTAATTAAAAATAATTAAAAATAAGATTTAAAATACAACTTTAAGTTTAATGGATATATCTACAACACTGAATAGTTTAGAATTCTAACTTATGAAGATGAACTTGCATATCACCTCAAAATACTATTTGTTGCTCCTCTTATTAGTCTCATTTAAATCATGATGGTATTTTATTTCTATTTTAGGAGATCCTAAGAAAAAGCTTATATGTTCAGTGTGCAATAAAAAGTGTTCTTCAGCGTCAAGCTTACAGGAACATAGAAAGGTCAGTAAGATAAAGATTAACTTTTATCACAGTTTAATATCTATCTTTAATAATTTTAATATATTTTACAGTAAGTATAAAAGCTACCAAGTTATTGATGTGAAAAGATAATCTGAAAAATAAATAGCAATTATTAACTCCAACAACATTAGCAACTAGTTAATAGAATTTACAATAAAATATAATTAAAATGGAGTTTTAATTTTTGTTCTGGTCATGAATGACAAGGTCCAATATATTTATATTATATTTATTATAACAAAGATGTAAATGATCGTTCTTAATTTCACATACTGTTTCTTTTAGCATAGCTACAAGCATGAGATATTTTAGTATTTATGAAAGGGAAGAGATGGTATTAGTGAAAATAAAATTTTACTTTCATTATGGTTTATAAAATGAATTTTATCTCTGTATATGGATGTATTACAAAGTAATTTGACAGGGCTTAAAATTTGTATGATTTTTAATCCAGATCCCACCATGTGCTGTGGATTTAAGTTATAATGTGTAAGGTAGCTTAATTGTTGTATTGTTATGTCAGAGGTTATATCTTGTATGTTTAGCGATTTTGATCCTTAAAGAGAAATAACAGGACAAGCACCAGGCCAGGAATCAGGGTAGTGGGCTGCTGCTTCTGTCACTAACCTTCCATGTAACATTAGGCCTTTCTTTTCCTGTTTATAAAATGGGACACTGAATTGATCAGTATTCTCTTGTTTTTTTCTCTGTGTGCCATAAAATTACCTTTTTTTTTTTTTTTTTTTTTTTTTTTTTTTTTTTTTTTTTTTTTTTTTTTTTTTTTTTTTTTTTTTTTTTTTTCTTCTGGATGTAGCAATGGCACTATTTTACATTCCCACCAACAATGTACAAGGATTCCAATTTTTCCACATCCTTGCCAACAGTTGCTATAGTCTTTTTAAAAATTATACTTTTGAAGTTCTAGGGTACATGTGCGAACGTGCAGGTTTGTTACATAGGTATACACATGCCACGGTGGTGTGCTGCATCTATCACCCCGTCATCTATATTAGGTATTTCTCCTAAAGATATCCCACCCCATTCCCCCACCTCCTGCTATCCATCCCCTAGTCCCTCACCTCCCGACAGGCCCCATTGTGTGATGTTTCCCTCCCTGTGTCCATGTGTTCTCATTGTTCAATACCCACTTATGAGTGAGAACATGCAGTGTTTGGTTTTCTGTTCTTGTGTCACTTTGCTGAGAATGAAGGTTTCCAGCATTATCCATGTCCCTGCAAAGGACATGAACTCATCCTTTTTTTATGGCTCCATAGTATTTCATGGTGTATAGGTGCCACATTTTATTTATCCAGTCTATCATTGATGGGCATTTGGGTTGTTTCCAAGTATTTGCTATTATGAATAGTGCTACAGTAAACATACGTGTGCATGTGTCTTTATAATAGAATGAGTTATAATCCTTTGTGTATATACCCAATAATGGGATTGCTGGGTTAAATGGAATTTATTGTGCACTTTATTGCTATTATTATTACATTATAGTATATAATGAAATAAAAATTATACAACTCACCAGAATATAGAATCAATTAGAGCTCTGAGTTTGTTCTCCTGGGAGTGATAGGAGACAGTGACAGATCATCAAGCATCAGAAACTCCTATGTGATGTTAATGGAGTACAGAAACCATAACTTATGCCTTTGAGTGATCTTTGCAGAATGTTAGTAAGTTGTTAGCTCAGTGTAGCCCTTCCTCCATTTCAGCCATAGTGCTTCACTAGTCAGCCTTTCTGAATCCATAGGCAACTTTTGTTGACTCCAATTGCAACTTTTCTTATAGTTTGGGATGTCTAATGTCTGATAGAATTTGGTTGCAGTATTTCGCCTTGCTAGTAAATGATGCTTTATGACTGCCAAATTATAGTATAGTCTGGTATCTTTTTTATTTTTTTTTGAGACAGAGTCTTGCACTGTCGCCAAGACTTTAGTGCAGTGGCACTATCTCAGCTCACTGCAATCTCCGCCTCCTGGGTTCAAGCAATTCTCCTGCCTCAGCCTCCCGAGTAGCTGGGAATACAGGTGTGTGCCACCACACCCAGCTAATTTTTTTGTATTTTTAGTAGAGACGAGGTTTCACCATGTTGGCCAGGATGGTCTCAGTCTCCGGACCTCATGATCCACCCGCCTTGGCCTCCCAAAGTGCTGGGATTACAGTAGTCTAGTATCTTAAATTATTATATATTATCTCATATAATGATAGGGTATGTTGTGAGTCTTCTTGAAAATAATTTGGGAGTTCAAATTTTAAAATATTACATTCCAAATTAATTTGGTACACTGTACATTTTATAAAATCTCATAAAAATATACTTTAGCATTTGGCATAATTAAATAGTATTATTTGTCATTTTCACTTTAAATATGATCTTTTCATTAAGACTTTTAAGGAATATTAAAAATAGCTTTGACTTGAATTTTTCACTATAAATGAGATAGTCAGTACAAAAATACGTTAGTATATAGTAGATGTTCTGTTTATAATGTTGGAAATATCCGTTTAATTCAACCTTGAAAAATGTTTCATGTTGAGGCCATGAGAGTTAAGAAGCGAACAGCATTTCATTTAAAAATGAAACAAACAGTGTTTTCTTTAACAGTTTCTACCTTATATATGGATTAATATTTTTTATGATTTTCTACATCAATACCATTTTAACATTAAAAATGAAAACAAGCAAAAGTTTTCATTTATATATGACTCGGAAGGTATGATATCTCTTAGACTATCTTGTTTGTCATTATAAAATTATATAGTATATATTTCAGAAACATAGAGTTTAATTATATAAATCTGCTTTTACTATATTTAAATTAACGTTACAAGTCATATCACTGGTCCTCAAACACAGATGTTGAACTGAAGCCACTGTGATAGTCTTTGATGATTGGAGAGGCTGCCTTTAACATGCCTCGGGCTGGAAGGTTTTCTTCTGTGCTTTGGGGCACTAGCATTCCAAACCCTTGTGCAGGCATGCAGGCCATCGTGCAGAGCCCACATGCTTTATAAAGGAACTCTTTGGACTCCAGATATCCCCTCATAGATGCTATTGCATCTAAGCAGGAGAGATAAGTCAGACTCTTGTGGAATGACATATTTTGGCTTCTGCTTTGTTTCTCTACTTTTTCCCTGCTTTACGTAACTGAATTTAATGACTCATCCAGAGTCAGACCTGACAGAAGCAGAGGCTGGTTGGCAGCCTTCAACCTGCCACGTGCTTAGGCATTGAATTAAGCTATGGGCTGCAGGCCTGGGATCTGTCAGCCTTGTCCCAGCATCTGTTTCCCTGCCTTGAGGCCTTCTATGGCCACTTATATCAAGAGAACCATTTATCAGGGGCCAGCAGAGTCCTCCACTCATTACTGATGTGCTGTACCAGCTCAAGGACTTTTGCCTAGCTCTTTCACTCTGCACTGTTGTTCCTAGTTATTCTGCAGGGACACTGTCTTGGCTTTTTGCACAAGGGCCTTTGCTTCTCTGGGATTTAGTATTTTAAGCTGGACCTTTAATGAGGTTGAAACAAAAACATGACTTCACCACAACCATTTTTGAATATTTAGCAAGGTACCGTTATGATGTTGTTCATTGGGTTGATGAATATTTCTAATATAATATGTAATACATTCCTTTTAGAATTGAATACTTTGTTTCTGAATAACTAGACTTCTACTTTTTATACCACCTATCCAGTTTCTCGGTGTTAGTGTCTGGGAGGGAAAGAACTAATTTAATATTCAATTGTAATATTTATATTAGCCAATTGTTTACTAAAGTTATATCCTCCCTTATTGTGCTTTTAACACAAATTTTATTCTGTATATTTAAGTTATACAACATAATGTCATGAGATTCACATATAGTTAAAATGGTTATTTTAGTGAAACATATTAATGCATCCTTTATCTCACATAGTTACCCATTTTTCCTCCTGTGGCACAGAGCAACTATAATCTCATTTAGCAAAAATCCTGACTATAATACGCTATTATTAATTGTAATCTTCATATTGTCCATTAAATCTTTAGAGTTATTCATCCTACATATCTGCTACTTTGGATCCTTTGACTAGATTTCCTCATTTTTAAAATTGTAGTGTTCCTGTCATGTGAGACTTTTTTTTTGAGACAGAGTCTCACTCTGTCACCCACGCTGGAATGCAATAATATGAACACAGCTCACTGAAGCCTCAAGTTCCCAGGTTCAAACGATCATCCTGCTTCAGCCTCCTATGTAGCTGTGACCACAAACATGTGCCACCACATCTGGCTAATTTATTTTTTATTTTTTTATAGGGACAAGGTCTCACTTTGTTGTCCAGGCTAGTCTCAAACTCTTGCGCTCAAGTAATCCTTCTGCCTTGGCCTCCCAAAATGCTGGGTTTATAAATGTGAGTCACTGAATCTGGCTCATGTGAAACTTTTATTGTGAACTAAATGCTTTTCAGAATCCTATCTCTTCAGTCTTTTACTGTAATTAATGTTGCACTCTCTACATGTACATTTAAGTTTAAAATATTGTTGACTACTGTAAAGGGAGTATTATTAAGTGGACGCTACATATTTCCAAGTCCAAATTTGTGCATAACAAAAGAGTTATTATATATTAGGTATAATTTTTACATAGCATAAATTTAATATGTACTAAATAGGACAGTTATATTACATTTTTAAGGACTATGACTCCTATGCCTCAAATGATATTTTTTTACTAGATAACTTATGTGCATTGTATTTTCAATGTATATAGGTTAGTGTGAATAAATTAGGGCTGAATTATAATATATAGTCTGGGTATTGCAGTAGAAACTAGTCACATGTTTACACTTTTGCTTTAGAGCTATGTAATTTATTAGGCTTTGACAGTTGATTTAACTGTCTGTTTAACTTTTGCAGATTCATGAGATATTTGATTGTCAAGAATGTATGAAGAAATTTATTTCAGCTAATCAGCTAAAACGTCATATGATCACCCACTCAGGTAAACTATATACTTTTTTGTTTATATGGATATCATTACAAAACAATTACATTGTCACTTTTATAAACTCTAAGAGCAGTAATCAGGGGCCCTAGATATAAATTCTACTTTGGACATTTACTAGCCATATGATTATGAACAAGTTACTTAATTCTCTAGACCTCAGCTTATTTACAGAGCAAAGGTGTTTCGAGTAAATGATATCAAAAATCTTCAGAATCACCATGTAATTTGTCACTTATTTGTCCTTGAGCTTCAGTTTCTTTATTTTTCATCTGTGAAATGGGATACTGGTGCCTACCTTTCAAATTAACCCTGAAGGTTAAATGAGATCATTTAGGTATTGTGCTAGCAAAGTGTCTGGCATTTAGTAGATATACAAAAATTATAATTCCTGCATTCCTAGATACTTTTACATTCTAGCTAAGGTACTAATAAATGTTAATAGGAAATCTATAAATACATTTTGAGTATATAAATTTTTAAAGCTATAGTTTCATTTAAGCAAGTTTTAGGAATAGATCTGTTTTACTTAATGCAGACTTAGAAAATCAGCTCCAAAAATAATTTTTACTTTATGGAGTCTCTAGAGTTTAAGAAGTCTATAATTTAAGGTGGTTGAAGTCAGAATGTTTTTGAATATGCACTTTGTAGATACATATGAGTGTTTTAGTAATTTAAAATCAGAGATCAAAACCTGTTATCTTGTAGGTATGTTTATTTGATACATGTTGTGTATTTTTTATTTCAGTGTCAATGTTATATAGATATTGCATAAATACGGATTTTACATGCCAATCTAAATCTTTGGTTCCTGTTGATCATTGGAAGCTCTGCCTCCATGAGGCCTGTGTGGCCCGGGGGGAGGCAGCTCTGTTCTTTACCTCCAACCCTGTCCGGTCACTTTCTGCATTTGAGGCCCTGACACTGATATAAACTCTCACGTATCAGCATGGTTTTCATCTGGAAGTAGGATTTCTTCCATAAATTTAAACAGTTTCTTTATATCTAAGTCACTTTCAAAATTCAAAATACATCTGTAAAATAACAAGCTCATATTTCGTTTGGTAGTAGGCACATTTGTCCTAATATAGGTAGACTGGGTGGAAGATGTTTTTTAGTTGTTTGACCATACTTTAGTTTACTTACCATAAGAAGTAACGTAAGGTAAGGATGTTCCTTTACATATATATATATATACACACGCACACGCACATATATATATATATATATGAGATTGTCTGCACTCATTTTTTTTTTTTAGAAAAACGACCCTATAAATGCGAGATTTGTAATAAGTCTTTCAAGAGGCTTGATCAAGTGGGTGCTCATAAAGTAATACACAGTGAAGACAAACCTTACAAATGCAAACTTTGTGGAAAGGGATTTGCCCACAGAAATGTTTACAAGAATCATAAGAAGGTAAAAACTTATTAATATTATTACTGATTTTTATGGATTTGCTGCTGTGATTTTCAGTTTTTATCTTTTGAAAAAGCTTTTGCATATCTGGTACCTACTGTATATGATGGAATGACTGGGGAAGATCTTCTGCATTGTATCACTCACTTGAGCCATAACCCCTCACAGCCTCCTTTCTGTCTTCCATTCTCTTTTGAAACTGTCCTCATAAGCAGAGTGCCTAGTTTTTCTTAACATAGTTATTAAATTAATTTGTAGGCCATGGGATTTAGTAATTACAAAGTCTTTATTCTGTTCCTTCTTTCCATAAGGTTTGATACTTTCATTTACATTATCTTTTTGAAATTCCCTTCATCCTCGGGATCCTTGTAGTATGCTTCTGCCAATTTCTGTGAACATTTTTGAATTCCTTTCCACTCAGAAGGTTATTCTGGATCCTTTGCCTGTGAACTTCTGTGTTCTCTCTCCTTAAGAAATGTCAGCTACATCCAAGACTTCTGCTATCAACACCATGCTGATGAATTCCAAATGATTTATTTTCTTTAATCCCAAGTTTCAGACTCACATTTATGACTGGGCATCTTTTAGACATAATGAATTCAGCATGCCCCAGAATGGCTTTTTCATTCTCCTTGCCCGAGATAACTTCTCTTTTGGAGTTTCCTCTTTTAATGACAAAAGCATGTAATTATCCTAGTCTCTTTATTCAGTATTGGTCTCATTATAAAATTAGAAGCCAGATATAAAGACTCTACCCTTTTCAGTATCTCATCACCTTCACAATCATCCCTTCCTTTACCATTCCAACATCGTGATTATTTTTCCTCTGGATTGCTTTAATACTCATCTAATTAGGCTTGTCACTTCTTGCTGCAATCAGTCCTACCAGGCAAATCGTCCCAAAGCATCACTCTAGTATATCACTCTCATACTCTAATGTTAAAAGTAGATTGCCAGTGCCTGCATATGTGATAGTATGTACACCTTCACCTGTCATTCAGAGTTCTCTAGATCATGACCTCAACCTACTTCTCCATCTTTTTATCCTTTTATCTGCATTAACCATACCTAAAACAACTAAATATTTGCCTTCCTTCTGTGTAACCTTCTCTTTCCTTCTCTCTACCTTCCTCTTTTTCTTCAAGTTATTAATGTCCTAGTTTCTTCTGTTGATTTTTGTTTTCATCTCTTATATTTTACCTTTGCTCAAGTTCTTGTTTCAGAATGTATCATGTAGATAATACATAATGCTTGAATTGAATTCAGGAAATTTGTCCAAAGATATCCAACATCTTAGAAATACATGTAAAAACATTTTTGTAATATACAAAATATTTGCTTATTGATTTTGCTTGATGTATTTTAGTATGCTGTTAAATAACAGGTATATGATCTTTTAAAAAATAACTTGTTATTTTTTCAGTTATACTCCATGGGGATTATAATTATTACATTTATGGGATACTTCCAAAGACTTTATTTTATCTCTTTTGAAATCATTTAAAAACTGTAATACCAATTTCAGCTTTAGTCCAAAAAGAGAAATAAAAAGGCAGATTTACCAAAGAATAAACAGTGTTGTTATAGTGTCTTAAATTGTCTCTGCCTAATTTCTTCCTTACCATCTTTATGTGTACCTCAGGCATTGTATAGTCAGGACAGGACTGCATTCATTACTGCTGCTTTGGAATTACATGACTGTAAGAAATTATCTGGCTAGTTTCCTGTTCAGTCTCTGGAACCCTCTTATTCCTTTCTTTGATGAAACTGATCTATCCACATTTATGAGTTTTTCACAGTTTGGCTCATGTTATATACCATATGGGAATTTGGCACAGGATCTTTGCACCATCTCTCATACTTTAAGCCATAAATCATATAAAACTAATAATGATATCTTAGGAAGCATAGAAGCAATGATGCCTATAATTTCCAAAGTGGAAAACACATTCAATCCTTCTGCCCTAGACAAATGTGTTTCTTACAGTGTTATGATCCTAGCCTATATTTGGCATTGTTATATGAAAATACCTGAAATATTCTCCAAGAATCATATAAAAACAGAAGATCAATCTTTTCTTCCATCACAATCATTAATGGCTAGTTGGAAAACATAAAAGTAAGGATATGCCACAGAAATCAGAAAAAAAGGTTAAGAGTCAGTATGATCCTTATATTTTTGTATGTTCAAGGTTTGTTACTTTAAATGAATTAATGATTCTTTTGTTTATTTGAGTATATAATATATACATTTTTATTATACTTATTTGAGTTATTTTGGATTGGTTTTTCTCTTTTAACATTTAGACTTGCTTGAAAAATGTAATATTATTTTTCATTGTGATTATGATAGCATATAGAGAAATTTTATTTATTTATTTTTATTTTTTGAAATGGATTCTCACACTGTTGCTCCTTATGAAATGTCAACTACATTCATGACTTGAAGTGCAGTGGTGCAATCTTGGCTCACTGAAGCCTCTGCCTCACAAGTTCAAGTGATTCTTGTGCCTCAGCCTTCCAAGTAGCTGGAATTACAGGCATACTCCACCATGCCTAACTAATAGAGTATATATTTTTTTTGTATTTTTACAAAATATATTTTTAATAGAGATGGGGTTTCACCATGTTGGCCAGGCTGGTCCAGAACTCATGATGTCAAGCAGTCTGCCTGCCTTGGCCTCCTAAAATGTTGGGATTACAGACATGAGCCACAGTGCCCAGCCAGCATAAAGAGAAATTTTAAAGGGGTGGTTTTTATTTTGAAAATTTAGTTACTCATTTCATCATCTTGCCAGTTATGTGGGTTCAGTAGGTTACTTTTTCTTTTCCTTCATTTTTCTGACAATGATTTTATCTGAATTATAGTTGTATTTTAGGATCTAGCCAAAAAAATCATTTATCTGGATTCAAATATACTTTGATTCTTTAAATCACAATTTGACCAATTAGAAGCTCTATTAGTCTTCACCCTCCATTGTGTTCCCTATCATATATAATGCAAAGCAAAATTTGGGTGGTATACAGTGCTTCCCTCCTCCCGCTATAGGATACATGTTTAGATGTACTGAACCTTGGATCCTAGAGCTGGCACTACTTGCTTGATGATGGAAGTGATTATGGAGGGGTTTTGCCCTGATGAAGTCATAAAGAAGCTCCTGGGGGACAGGTGTGTATCTGTTCAAATAAAGGATTTTTTTTTTTTCTGACCTTTTACATAGACTTCCAGGGATGAAACTTTAGAGGCTTATGAGGAAATCTAGTCAAAACTTCTCCTGGAATAATTCCTTTTGGGCCTTAATGTCTCATGAATTCTTTTTCAAATTCTGGGCCATGACTGCTTTGTGGGTCTTGAAATCAGTTTACTGAGTGATGACTGGCCATTAAAAAATAGAATAGAAAATAGAGTAAAGGGTCATTCAATAAAATAATACATGTGTGTGTGTGTGTGTGTGTGTGTGTGTGTGTGTGTGTGTTCAGTTTTGGAGTTAGAATTACTTATCTAGTCGTAGTCAAACAAGATAAAAGGCAATACAGTTCACTCTGCCTGGGATAAATTTTATTAGACCTTAAAGTAAGAAGTTTTTCCCCACAAATATGGTTTAGATTCTAATTATTATTATTATTTTATTTTTATACTTTAAGTTTTAAGATACATGTGCAGAAGGGGCAGGCTTGTTACATAGGTATACACATGCTGTGGTGGTTTGCTGCACACATCCAACTGTCATCTACATTAGGTATTTCTCCTAATGCTATCCCTTCCCTATTCCCCTACCCCTCAACAGGCATTGGTGTGTGATGTTCCCCTCCCTTTGCCCATGTGTTCTCATTGTTCAACTCCTACTTATGAGTGAGAACATTCAGTGTTTTGTTTCTGTTCTTGTGATAATTTGCTGAGAATGGTGGTTTCCAGTTTCATCCTTGTCCCTGGAAAGGACATGAACGCATCCTTTTTTATGGCTGCATAGTATTCCATGGTGTATATGTGCCACATTTTCTTTATCTAGTCTATTGGTATTTGGGTTAGTTTCAAGACTTTGCTATTGTGCACAGTGCCACAATAAATCGATGTGTGCATGTGTCTTTATAGTATAATGATTTATAATCCTTTGGGTATAGAACATCATGAATTACATTCTAAAATAAAAATATATGGTTTATTTATTTATTTATTTATTGGTCTCAACTGGCTCATTAAATTTTTCTGCCAGTTACTTTTTTATCTGCATTTATTTATTTATTTATTTATTTTTATTGCATTTTAGGTTTTGGGGTACATGTGTAGAACATGCAAGATTGTTGCATAGGTACACACATGGCAGTGTGATTTGCTGTATGGTTTAAGTTTACCGTAGTGAAAAAAAAAAGTTCTTCACAATTTCCTGGAAAGATGTTATCTTGGAGACTGAGAGATGTTCACTCAACAGAGTACAGCCACTCTTTCCTTTAGCTTTTGCATCAGGTTACTCTTCTTTTGTGATGCTGCAGGAGAGATAGTGCCCATTCATTTAAGGTATTGCTGTATTATACAAAATCACAAGCTGCACACATTATGAGGGACATGCAGGATTTGAACCTGACAGAAGGAACCACAGATACAGGTCACTATCCAAAGCTTATTTAGCTAATGGCAAATTGCTTACCTGATTTTAATTGTTCTTTTTCTTCAGTTGATGATGAGATAGCAATGTACGATTTAAAACATTTTTTTTTACATTTTTTTCTTTATTGAGGCATAATGATGAGTGAAATTTGTATATGTTTGTGGTGTACAATGTAATGTGTGTGTGTGTGTGTGTGTGTGCCTGTGTGTATATATGTATACACACACGCACACACACACACACATTGTGAAATGATTACCACCTAATTAACATATTCATTATTTACATATTATCTCTTTTGTAGTGAAAACATCCAAAATCTATTCTGTTAATTTTAAGGGTTCTCACTACCAAAAAAGGATAAGCATGTGAGATAGTGGATGTGTTAATTAG